TTTTTCGTCTTTGCTCATTGGATTCTATATAGTCTATGTCTCTTGATGCACTCTTCTACTTTTATGAAGGCATAGCTCGTATGAGCAAATTCACTATAGATTGAGGTCAACTTTCAAACGATCTGTGCAGATGTTCCAAGTTGATGTCAAAACGCAAGATTTCTGAAATTAGTAAAAAGTTGCAAAAAATTCAGAATAGTCTGGTTGGAGAAATGCAACTATTCAAATTAAGATGAGCTGGTTGTACTTGAATTATGTATATAATTGACATCTAGGATAACTTGTAGGGGGAATACAACAACAACAACATACCCAGTATATTCCCAACTGGTTGGGGTCTGGAGGGTCAGTTGTACGCAGACCTTACCCTTGTAATTATACAAGGAGGCTGTTTCTGTAGCGACCCAATGTGCATTGCGTCGTTTGATATATTTTTCTAGAAACTTCACTAATAGAAGCACTAGAATTTAATTGAGCCATTTTGTAGGGGGAATGTGGTCTTAAAAATAATAAAAATGTGGGCAGGTACCTTGCGGAGGCCCATGTCCAGGCAATGCAATTCGAGGAGGCGGAGAGGCTGTGCAAAAAGACCCTCGAGATCCACCGTGTGCACAGCCCGCCGGCTTCCCTGGAGGAGGCTACGGACCGGCGTCTGATGGCCCTCATCTGCGAGGCCAAGTCCGATCACGAGTCGGCCCTTGAGCACCTTGTCCTTGCCAGCATGGCCATGATTGCTCACGGCCATGAGGCTGAGGTTGCTGCCATCGACGTGTGCATTGGCAACATCTACTCGGCCCTCACTCGCTTTGATGAGGCCGTCTTCTCCTACCAGAAGGCCCTTACCGTCTTCAAGTCCTCCAGAGGGGACCACCACCCCTCGGTTGCTTCCGTTTTCACCAGGCTGGCCGAGCTCTACCACAAGACGGGCAAACTGAGGGAGTCGAGATCCTACTGCGAGAATGCGCTCAGGATATATGCCAAGCCTGTCCCGGGGACCTTGCCAGAGGACATTGCCACCGGTCTCACCGAGATTTCTGCCATCTACGAGATGTTCAACGAGCCTGACGAGACCCTCAAGCTGTTGCACAAGGCCATGAAGCTTTTGGAGGATAAGCCCGGGCAGCTGGCCACGGTTGCCGGAATAGAGGCCCGGTTGGGGGTGATGCTTTATATGGTAGGAAGGTATGAGGAGTCGCGGGCTTCGTTTGCGAGTGCCATTGAGAAGCTGAGGGGTTATGGGGAGAGGAGTTCCGCCTTCTTTGGGGTGGTTCTCAACCAGATGGGGCTCGCCTGTGTGCAGCTCTTCAGAATAGACGAAGCGGCTGGGCTGTTTGAAGAGGCCAGAGCCATACTGGAGAAGGAGTGTGGGCCATGCCACCACGATACGCTCGGTGTGTACAGCAATCTTGCAGCGACTTACGATGCTATGGGAAGGTACAATTATCATTTATCTACTTATCTTTGTTTTCTTTTGTTTCTTTCTGGGAAATATATTATTTGATGAGATTTTGCAGGCACCCTATTTGAAATTTATTGTTTCTAACTTTAGTTGTCCATGTGAAGAAAAAATGGAAGTAAGAAATGTTGGACTCTGGAGATTGTGAATTATCAACTCAAACTGGATGGTACATTAGTGTGCTTCCATATGTTTTTTTTTTTTGTTAATGGAGTTACAACATTAGTATGTTTCCATCTGGTTTAAATATGTTGCAAGTCAACTCATAATTTCTTATTTTTTAATTCTTTTAAATGTTTTTTCTACCTGAAAATTACGAATGGGATTGGATATAAGATTTTTTTCAATAAATTTATGTGAGATAAAAAAATTGGAGAAAGTATTTTTTTGAAAAAATGAAATTTAAATTGAGAGTGGATATAAGATAAAAATATAATGATTACAATTGATATGATATTAAAATAATAAAATATTGATTGATAGGATTGATAATTAGAAATGCTTGAGTGGATGAATAATATATTACTGATGATTATTATTAATTTTTTTTTTTAAATTGTGTGTTTGTAGAGAAAAAGTGAGCTGAATAATATTTTTTGTTGAATTTTTTTTATCTTATATTCAGTTTCAATGTGATAAATATTGACTGGACAAACAAAAATGAAAAATTTCGTTTTAGATGTGGTATAAATACGCTCCCATGTTCCAGATGGGTTTAACCAATTTGCATTGTGAAATGTTTTTATGCGCGGGCATTCATCATGCATTCCGTTGACAACTCTTAACCAATCAACAGAATTGAAGATGCAATAGAAATTCTGGAGTATGTTTTGAAACTTCGAGAAGAGAAACTTGGAACCGCAAATCCTGATTTCGATGACGAGAAGAAAAGACTAGCGGAGCTTCTGAAAGAAGCTGGCAGGTCGAGAAATAAAAAGGCCAAATCTCTTGAAAACCTCATAGATCCGAACTCCAAAAGGACCCACAAGAAAGAGACATCATCCAAGAAGTGGTCTGCTTTCGGTTTTAGGGGTTGATTGCGGAGATAGTGTGATGATTTCTTATGAACAAGGACGTATTTGTTTTTCTTTATTTTTTCTTTTATTTTTTCTTGTTTTATAATGTAGAAGTTGTGAGTGGTGTGAAAGTTGTAATTTGTCGTGGCATCTTTTCTGGACAGCAGTTTGGATTGGTATTGCAACTTTTATTCTTCGTTTGTTCTTGTGAGGCTGTTTCACTGAATCATTTCTGAAGATGAACCTTGTGTGAAAGATCACTATTAATATTATAATGTTTGTTGGCAAATTGAGAGGATGAACTAATACTTGGATGATGAATTTTAAAGTTACAAGCCTGGGATTGTGTGTGGCAACATTTTTCTATTCATAGGATTGGCATATCAAATCAGATTTGTTAAGGAACGTTTATTCTTCATGTGGGAGTTTGGTATTTGTGGAGTCCTGGGTGTGTTGTGTTGGTAGTGTCATTCCTAGGTTACATTCATTCGGGTAGTCCTTCAATTAGATTCAGTTGTGTAGCTATTGAGTCAGCTACATTAACTGTTATCTAGTTGTAAATTTGTGTTTTATTTATAAACTTCATTGTTCTGAAAAAAAAAAAAAAAAATTGTTTAAACCAAACTCTATAAGAAAAATGATTTATGAAAATAAAAGAAATTCAAGAAAACAACAAAAGAAACTACAGATGATTTGACTAAATTCTTCTTAGATAGCAACTTCTTGATTTGGAGTTATTTGGCAAGGACCTTTATCACCGAAATACGCTAGAACGACCTTCAGTTATGTACGAATGATGAAATTTTATTGCTACAAGTTTTTATTTATTTATTTAATTATTTATTTATTTATTTATTGCTTTTGTTTTGTTTTGTTTTGTTTTTTTGTTTTTTGTTTTTTATTTATTTATTTTTTTTGTTTATTTTTTTTTTTTTTTTTTTTTTTT